GATGCCGGCGCCACAGGTGGAGGTTTAACCTTCTGCGCCACGGCACCGGCCCCTGAGTTTGTTTTTTGAAAGTGAGTTCTGAAAAGATCCTGGAGCATGTGAGTGAGCAGAAACATGTACAGTTTGCATATTCCCTGTTCATTGTCTCCTCACCCTCGTCGTAGCATCCACGATCCACCTTGAGCATAAAATTCTGACCCAGGGGCCAGTGCTGTGGAGTAGCAGGTAAAGCTCCCAGCTCATGTGCCAGAGAAAGCAGTGGGCCCCTGCACCCACATAGGAAACCCAGATGAAGCTCCTGGCTCCTGACTTTGACCTGGCCCAGTCCTGGCTGTTGAGGGCCATTAGAGGAGTGAACCAGAGAGGATGCAACATCAATCTCTCTCTCTCTCTCTCTCTCTCTCTCTTTCTCTCTCATTCTCCTTCTCTGTTAACTCTCACTTTCAAATAAATAAATAAATCTTTAAAAAAAATTCTGACTCCAGTTACGTGGGGAGTTCACTGATATACAAAAGCCAGGAAGAGCACGTGACAAACACATCCCCAGTCTTATCCTTTCCTACACTAATTCCTGTAGCTGTCAATCACCAACCGTGAAATAGCGGAGAGAAAGACAAGGAAAGATAGTTTATCTTCCTTTCAGCCCCTCCTCAGTCACCTGTAAGCCAAAGGTTAGAAATTATTAGCAGCAGGTGCATCAGAGGACTGGGCTCCTGGGCAGCAGTGGAGTCTGTTGGCATCCTACGTTGGAGTTCCTCTTTGAATCCTGGTTACTCTGGTACCTCTCCAGCTTCCTGCTAATCAGCACTCTGGCTGGCAGCAGATTATGGCTTGAGCATTCGGGTCCCTTACATCCATGTGGGAGAACTGAATGGAGTTCTGGGCCCTGGCTTCACTCTGATCCATTCTCAGCTGTGGCAGGAATTTTGGGAATGAACTAGTATGGAAGATCTCTCCCTGTCTTTGTCTCTCTGCCTTTCAAATAAAGAAATGAACATTAAAACAGAAGGAAATACAAAAGGTTGAGTTAGTTTTGTGCATCATTTCTATTATGAACAAAACACATATGCATGTATGAACTATGAAATAGGAATTAAATATTTTCTGTTCCTATTTAAAACTTGCATTATACAACAGAACGATGAATGGTAAAATTCATGAAAATAACCTGAAGTTTTTTTATTTTAAAGATTTGTTTATTTATTTGAAAGTCAGAGTTATACAGAGAGAAGGAGAGGCAGAGAGAGAGAGAGAGAGAAAAGTCTTCCATCCATTGGTTCACTCCCCAATTGGCTGCAACGTCCAGAGCTGCGCCTATCTGAAGCCAGGAGCCAGGAGCTTCTTCCGGGTCTCCCATGTGGGTGCAGGGACCCAAGGACTTGGGCCATCTTCTATTGCTTTCCCAGGCCATAGCAGAGAGCTGGATCAAACCGGGTCTTGAACTGGTGTCCATGTGGGATGCCGGCACTGCAGGCAGCGGTTTTACCCGCTATACCTCAGCACCGGCCCCCTAATTTTTTTTAAACTTATTTATTTATTGGAAAGGCAGAGTTAGAGACAGGCAGAGGGAGAGACAGGTCTTCCATCTGCAGGTTCACTCCCCAGATGGCCACAACAGCTGGAGCTGCACTGGAGCTGCGCTGATCCAAAGACAGGAGCCAGGAGCTTCTTCCTGGTCTCCCACGTGGGTGCAGGGACGCAAGGACTTAGGCCATCTTCTACTATCCCAAGCCAGAGTAGAGAGCTGGATCAGAAGTGGAGTTGCTGGGACTCAAACCAGTCCCCGTATGGGATGCTGGCACTGCAGGCAGCGGCTTGAACCGCTATGCCACAGTGCCAGCCCCAACACCTGAAGTTTTAACTTATTTACAGAGAATGATGTTCAGTCACTAACTGAAAATACCATGATGAGAGAGCTTGGAGGAAAGGAAGAGGGCGGGCAATTCTGTACACTGACAGCATTTGTCTCCCACTTTGATAAGGTATCCCACGTTTCATTTTGCACTAGGCCATGCCAATCATGAAAGTGGGCTTTGTGGGGTTGCCACTCTGGATGGGACGACCAGGAGAGAACTTTCAGGAAACACCATTTTGAGCTCTTCCCAGAGGAACCAACCACGGGAAGGTCTGGGGAAAGATAATCTCAGGTAGACGGAGCACCTAGTGCCAAGACCCTTGAAAAGAAAGTTAGAACCAGAGGACAGAGGGGCCAGCACCGTGGCGCAGTAGGTTAATCCTCTGCCTGTGGTGCAGGTATCCCATATGGGCACCGGTTCAAGTCCCAGCTGCTCCTCTTCCAATCCAGTTCTCTGCTATGGCCTGGGAAAGCAGTAGAAGATGGCCCATGGATCAGCACAGCTCTGGCTGTTTTGACCAATTTGGGGAGTGAACCAATGGAAGGAAGACCTGTCTATCTCTCCCTTTCACTGTCTGTAACTCTAACTCTCAAATAAATAAATAAAGTCTTAAAAAAAAAAAAAAAAGAATCAGAGGACAGAAGATGAGGTCAGATTTGGGGAGGACCAGAACGTGAAAGGCCTTAATATGCAGAGGACTCCATCCTATTTGTGTGGCCACTGGGAGGGTTCAGGAAGAATGACAGGAATGACTTAATGTTTCATAAGGTTACACTTCCTGGAGCTTGGGCGAAGCGTGGACTCATGGGGACCGTCTGAAGAGTTTATACTGCAAGAACCCATTGCCCCTTCAGGCTCAATGCATCGTACTCCTTATTGTACTTGAGGATTTTCACATTTCTCTCCCTGGACTAGACTGTAAACCCCTCAAGGGTACTGACTCTGTCTGACTCCCTCTGTATTACGCATGTCCAGCATCCTTTGCACACAGCAGCCACTTATTCAATGTTTACTGAGTGAAAGTTTGGAATAGGATTTAAACTACTCTTGTAGTAAATACTCTGCCCTTGCAATTTTCTTCAAATTGAGGTATTTCATTCATTAGAGGAGCCACAAGGAAAGGCATTATGGCAGCTGGAAAGGAATCTGGAGTGAATACAGAATAGGTTGTTAATTTGACAACTTTTGAAATCTGAAACCATGAGCAACATGAACTCAGAGCCACAGCTATGGCTGCAGAAGCTCCAGCCTGGGGACTTCGGAATGAAGTTGGCCTGAGACATAGTTTGATTGGTTGGCCTGGCATGCAAGTATTGTGGTGAATTAGATGTTGAGGTTTAAGGTGTTTCCATGTAAACATCTTTTTGTCTTGAGCAGCAACAAAGAGACAAGCAAACACAGAACTTGGCAGTACTGTTTGGTGTTCCACAGGGCAGCCTGCAGTGGAGGAGGCCACAGCCTTTGCGTGGGGCCGGTGTTCTCTGTCTTCTACTCTAACTACCTGCGGGGTGCCCGTGGCTGTACGTGTTTGTGATGGCTCTTACGGAGACTTTCATGTGCTAGTGCTATTAAAAATGAAAACATTTTGAAATTTAAACCTTAAATTATACTAATCTCTCTTCAGTTTTCTTGATAAACATGTGGAGTTATTATTGCCTTCCTTGGAATCATTGTCAATTTAAGACACAAGGCCGGCATCCATGGGCCAGGGCAGACAGCGGTGGGCCAGGGCAGGGTGCAGTGCAGCTCCCATTTGCTGATGGATGAATATTTGGGCTGGGGAGAGCTCTCCAGGTGACCCTCACCACCAATTGGGTCTATAGGGGGCACCCACAGTCTCTGTCTTCTTTACCTCGGAAGCTGGGAAGATTTAGGTGTGATGACTTTAAGGGACTACCCACAGTTATAGACCCCACAAGCCTTCCCATGTGCCCGGGTCATTGCTTCTCTCTCTGTGTTCATGAGCACCAGTGCACCTCTATTGAGAGACCAGAGGAGAGCCGCAGGGACACACACACACACACACACACACACACACAGAGAGAGAGAGAGAGGGAGAGAGAGAGAGAGGTATCCCATCTGCTGGTTCACGTCCCAAAAGTACAAGAGGGGAAGGGAAACTTAGTCTAGGTCTCCTTTGTGGGTGGCAGGGACCCGGGTACTTGAGCCTGAGCGGAGATGGGCCGGAACCCAGGTACTCTGGTGTGCGATACAGGCGTTTTAGACTCTAGGCCGAATGTCGGTGTCTAAACTCTTCTTGCTTTCCTCACCTCATCGCCTCGTCTGAGCCCAGCGCCCTTTCTGCGCTGACTCGGACCACTGGGGTGCGATTTTAGGCTGTGTGTTCTCGGGACAAGGCCTTTATTTGGACAGCGCCATGGAATCCATTGTGCAGCTCCGTAGGAACCCCACATGTTTATTTATAGGACTGTACGGGGCAGGCCACAAAAGAGTCTCTGTGGCCAAGCGGACACGGGCTGTCTCCCCAGCGCGCCCCAGCCCGGGGACGCACAATAGCGACAGGCAGAAGCCACAATGGGCCAATGTCCGCGGAGTCTGTGTGGCCGGGCCGCTCTCCGAAGCCCAGCAGGGACGCGGGCAGCACGGGAGGGTTTGGGCCCAGCGCTTCTTGGTGGGTATTCAGGTCTGCGGACACCTGGCAGTACCAGGGCGCGGGGCAGTGGAACAGAAGCGCATTCAGGATTCTCGGGGAGAACTCACGCCCACACCCCCCAAGGCTGGCAGCGCTCAGACGCGAGGCCGTGTCCGGCGCGCTGCACGGCCGGGGAGGGGGCGCTGGGACGGGCGCCAGGGAAGGGAGGGGGTCAAAGTCCAGGCCCAGGAGCCCAGCAGCCAGGGAAGAGGCCAAGGGCGGAGACAAGGCCGCGCCTGAGCGGCGGCGGGCCGCTGCTGCCAGGCTAGCGAATCCGGCTCTGCCTGGCTGGGGAAGAACGCAGGCTCCCGGGCGAGCGCTGGCCGCTGCTCGCCGCCCAGGAGCGCGCAGGGCGCCGGGCCCCGGGGCCGCCCCGACCAGCTGACGCAGCGCGGGCCCCCGAGCCCTGCGCGCCCCGCGGGCGGGAGTGCCCCGCGCCGCCGCTGGGAGGCCGAGCCGGCCCGGAGGGGGAGGCGCTCGCGCCGCCGGTGCCCGCCCCAGCTCCGGGGGCCGAGCGGGCGCGAAGGGGCGGGCGCACGCGGGCCGAGATCACCGCCCCCGCGCCGCCGCCACCTTTCCATTCAGTCGCCCAACATGGCTGGAGCGCGGCGGAGGTGAGCCGGCCGCCCTCTGCCGCCAGCCTCCTGCGCCCCAGCGCCGCGGCGGCGCCTCAGCTGAGGGGCCGAGGCCCGGCCGGCCGCTGCCCGCCGCAGGCATGTGGGGCTCGGCGGACGAGAGCTCCGTGCGGGTGGCTGTCAGGTGAGGAGCTGCGCGGGCGCGGGCGCGGGCGGAGGGCGCGCGGCTGTGGAAACTGAGGCAGCGGGTGGCCCGCTTCAGCGGATCCCGCGCCGGCCTCTCGGCCGCCCGCCGCGAGCGCAGGTGGCCGGCCCGGGCCGGGGTTGGGTGAGGGCGGCCGGCGCCCTCACGCCGGGTCCCGCGCCCGGGGACGGTCGCCCGAGCTTGGCCGCCCGGGGACGGTCGCCGGTCCGGTTTGCCGGCTGCGGTGTCTTTTCATTATTCTAGCGTCTGTCAGACGCGCACTGGCGGCGGCGGCGGCGCGGCCTCCCGAGGCCGAGACAAAGCCTGGGGCGCGCCGCCCCCGCCGGTCCCCCCAGGCCAGGCATCGGGGCACCGGGGCCGCCTGGGCGCGCAGACTCCGAGCGCGGGTCCGGCCTGTGGGGTGTCGCAGTGGGAATGGTGTTTAGGGTCCGATCCTCAACGCCCCCACCCCCAATCCCCGCCCCACGTCTTTAGCCAGGCACAGAGCTCCCGGTGACCGTGCCATCCAGAGGCTGAGCGGGGTGCATACAGTCGGCGTGTAATAGCACTATGGCACCTGCTGGGCGTGGGTCTTGGGATGACGGGGGCTCATCGCAGTGGCGCTTGGTGCACTGTTCAGTGCCTAGGGAGGCGACTCTGACAGTTGCTGCAGCAAAACTGCACCATCATTGCGCGCTTTGCAAGGTGAATGGAGCCTGGTGCCGGCCCGGCCCCCGGCGCTTACCGTTAATTCTCGCCCCTGCATGAACGAAGAGGAGCCTCCCTCCGGGAGATTCGGCCTTCCACTCTCGTCGTCTTCCTGGGGAATTATTGTCAGAGTTGCATCGTGTATGCAGGCCGGTGGTTAATGCTGTAAGGACACACCTTGGTTAGGTGGAGAAGGCAGCTTTGTACACTTTGTATCTGTAAGCCATGGGTAGAGAATAACTCGAAACATTGTGTTTCTTCGGAGGAGGAGGAGGAAATTGCCACCCTTGGAGGTGACAGTTTTATGGCCCTTTAAAATCACCTGCTCAAAAGCCGCTTGAGTTTTCCTGCAGCCTTCTTGGTTATCCTGCAGCCTTCTTGGTTATTTCTGGCGACTTCTCCATTTGGTAGATTAATTTGTTTGTCCTGTTCCCTGCTGCTACCTCTCTTGTGGCCTTTTAATTCATATTAATGACCGACCAGAGCCCAGGAAGGGGAAAAAGCAGGAAACCCAGCCATGGGTTAGCTTCGCAGATCTGATCAAGGAGGGCGAAGAAAGAGTGTGAAATATTAATGTGAGAATTCTCCGAGGTATCACAGGTTGCATGAGTGCTGAGCACTGTGCTAAACCCTGCGCTCCTCTTCCAGGAGGAGCTGGGTGGAGTCGTGAAGGAGCCTTGGTGACAGTGAACGTAGCTTCCTAGCTTTGGAGGGCGACTTTAGTTCTGGAATGCATGTTAGCACTTCCTTTATTTTTTTAAGATTTTATTTATTTATTTGAAAGTCAGAGAGTTACACAGAGAGAAGAGAGGCAGAGAGAGTCTTCCATCTGATGATGGTTCACTCTCCAATTGGCTGCAACGGCCGGAGCTGCACTGATCCGAAGCCAGGAGCCAGAAGCTGGGAGCTTCTTCTGGATCTCCCATGTGGGTGCAGGGGCCCAAGGACCTGGGCCATCTTCTACTGCTTTCCCAGGCCACAGAAGAGAGCTGGATTGGAAGAGGAGCAGCCAGGACTAGAACTGGCACCCATATGGGATGCTGGTGCTTCAGGCCAGGGCATTAACCCGCTGCACCACAGCACCGCCCCCCCACCCCCAGCACTTCCTTTAGGTGACTGAGTGTGGGTCTGCTCATGGGGAAAGCAATATAGAAGCTTTCCCAGAATTTATTAAGCCACAGCAGGAACATCCGATTTGGTGAAATTGAGGATTTTTAAAAAAATATTTATTTATTTATTTGAAAGGCAGAGTTTTGGAGAAGGAGAGACAGAGAGATCTTCCATCTGATGGTTCACTCCCCCAAAAGGCCTCAAAGGCCAGAGGTGAGCCAATCTGAAGCCAGGAGTCAGGAGCCTCCTCTGGGCTTCCCATGTGGATGCAAGAGCCCAAGGACTTAGGCCATCCCCTCTGCTTCCTCAGGCACATTAGCAGGGAGCCTGGTTGCAGTAGAGCAGCCAGGACTCCAACTGCTGCCTATATGGGATGCGGGCACCAGGCTGCAGCTTCACCTGCCATGCCACAGCACCAGCCTGGGATTTTTTTTCTTTAAACATAATTATTCTCTGAGCAGAGCTACTTTCTAAACTTACTTTATATATGGTAAAAATAGTTTATGTAGCATTTATACAGTTCTTGGACGTATCTTGTTCACTTAAAACATGTCTTTATTGAACATTTATCTCATCTCTATGTCTTGGTTTCTGACCAAAAATAGTGATAATTGTTGGCTATTGACAGCGTACCAGGGTCAGTGCTGTGTGTAAGTTGTTTTACAGCAGGTTAAAACCTCATTTTTTCTTCATAGCAACCAATGACCTAGAGCCAATGATCATTATGTCCATTTTACAAGTGAAGCGCAGAAAGATTAAGTAAATTGCCTGAAGTTAAACTGGTTTCAAATGGTGGAGCCAGCGTTCCAACCCAGGCAGCTGGGCCCTACAGCCCAATTCCTAGCCATTAACCTTGTGTAGGTGAGAGGCAAGAGCGTATCTTGCAGTGCTTTACTTAGCTTAAGGTCAGTTGCTTCCTCCTGTTTCAGTTGTAGTTCGACTATGAATGAATGGCTTTGGCAGCTTGTTCCTACCTTGACATTGCTAGAGAAGACAGCTCAGAAGCAGAGGGCCTGAGCTGAACTGAACCAAAACATTTCCTCAGATTCTTCCGTCTTTCGGGCGTCCTCTGATCCTGCCTTCCAGTTTGTGGCTGGCTGTCAGCAGGATAAATAAATCAACAAAAAATGTTGTATCTGTACACAAAATCAGCACAGGCATTTGACCCACCTTTCCCCTTCAGTGAATAATGTAACAGCAGGTGGCAGACACTTAACTTTGCTTGTGTGAATGCATACAGAGTCCTACTCTGTGTCTTACTAGATAGAGAACCTGGTGAGTGTGTTAAGGTCCATGACTCTGCCATGGGGTTCTCAATACAAGTGCATGGGTCACATAAGGCTTTGCGGCAGAGGCCAAACAGGAAGTTTCTCACCTAGGGAGGACAGTTTTATTCAATTTTAACAGTGCTTTTTGGCAGACTGTATTTTAGGTGTTCTGTGGAGGTGTCTTTCATTGTAGGAAACATAGGTACAGATGACAACCTGTTATGTTTTTTTTATTTTTATTTGTAGGTTAAGATTTATTAAAAGCGAAAGGCAGAGTTACAGGGAGGCAGAGGGAGGGAGGGAGGGAGAGAGAGAGAGAAAGAGAGAAGAGAGAGAGAATGTCTTCCATCCACTGGTTCACTCCCAAAGAGAGGTCTTCCATCCACTGATTCACTCCCCAAATGGCCCTAATGGCCAGAACTGGACCCCAAAGGCAGGAGCCAGGAGCTTCTTCTGAGTCTTCCATGTAGGTACAGGGGCCCAAGGAGTTGGGCCATCTTCTACTGCTTTCCCAGGCCACCAGCAGGGAGCTGGATTGGAAGTGGAACAGCCTGGACTCAAGACAGCACCCATATGGGATGCTGGCGCTGTAGGTCACGGCTTTACCCACCATGTCACGGCATAGTCCCACTTCCCCCCATATGGTTTTTATGCCCTTGGATGTGATTAATACTTCTGAGGAACTAAATTGTAAATTTTATTAATTTTAATATATTTAAATTCAAAAACTGACCCTTGATTCAGTTACTGGAAACTTTTAAGGATGTATGGAATAGCTTGGTCATGTCTATTTATTTTTTCAGCTGTGAGGTGTATGGAATCTAATTACTGATACAGTGTTTCCTATGGAAATTTTGTTCTGAATTGACATCTGATAACATAACATAATTGACATGTGACAACATAAATACTGGATTTCAAAGACTTAGAAAAGACCTCAAATCTTCATATTGATTACATGTTGAAGCAATATTTTGATTGCATTGTTATATTTTATTAAAATTCATTTCATCTTTTTTTTGTTTTCTAAAATGTGGCACTGCTAGACATTTCAAAGGTACATATGTGGTTCACATTACATGTCTACTGAATTGTGTTTTCCTGTAATCTAAAGAATCTAGGAAAGAAGCACAAAATAAAACTATTAACAGATGCCACGTCATTGACTAACTACACTCTTAGATCAAGAAAATACCGACATATCACATGTCTGTTTTTAGAGTGGATGTACACACACACACACACGTACATGTGTACGTGTGATTTACCCACAGTATTTCTCCCTGCAGGGTACATATTTGCAGAAAGGTATGGTAGTTTATTTTCTAGGAAATGTAAATCAAATGGGTGGCTTAGATGGAGGCGTCAACAATGAACAACGGAGTATAGTGTGTGTTTTATTCTTATCTGAGAATAAGGTGTCGAACTCTTCAGTTAACTCAAAATGTTAAGGTGAATTAAACATTTTATATTTTAAATGTAAGACATGAGATGAGGCGGCCTTTGTTCTTCTGTATCTTTGAATATTTTCACATCAAACTTGAAAATTTTTCCTTTTCAGGAACTTTAGCTTGCAAAATATGTCATGAGCTTGACAGGAATGGAGATACAGAGGGGACCTTTGTGTTTCTGTCATCGTGTTTGTGGTAACTGAACCTCCTTTGCTTTGGCGGAGAACCGTAGGGATTCTTGGCATTGGGTTTGGATTAGCGTGTGGAGTGGTTTAATCTGTGTTTCAGTGCTGTGTCTTCACCATCCTCAGTGCGTCAGGGGTGCACTGCTCAGCAGCCTTCAGGCCTGGCTGGACGGACAGAGGATGGTGTTGGGTCCATTCTGGCACCGGGTGCAGTGTGACCTACCTGAACTTTTGTTTTCCCCACACTGTGGTGGCAGCCAGGAGGTGTTGAGGGTTGC